CCATTAGAAGGACGTTATGAAACTCATAAAGTGATTATAGAAGACGTTATGCCTTTGCCTTTCAAATTGTGCAACAAAGCCTCATTGCTAATTTTACGGCATTAAGTTCGGGGCGCCATTAAAGTGTTGATGGTGTATCGTGGAAAGCCAGGCTGGCATCAAAGAAAACTTCGATGAATGCAAACTTCGCCCTTCCGGCATGGTAATGAAGGAACGCGTGGGCTGGTCTTCAGATCTCACGCTTGAAATTACCCAATTATCATCAAATTTGCGGTGCTCGTGCATGCCATTGGCTTTTAATCTGGATCAAGGAATTTTGCAGATTTGAAAGATTATTTTGCGTCATTTCCCAAATCGCAAAAATTTTCCCTCTCAGGATTTCAAGCCAATTCAAGTAGAAGTAAATATCGTCACAATTTTTTTAATTTTGATTCGGCATCGACTAAGTAACTCCAAAAATTTGTTCAAACTAAATAGATGCAAATGTGAAGTTTCGCGTATCTATATTGCACCGCAGACAATATTTTTCAAGATGTTACGCCTATGAAGATTTCTTCTTAAAAGGAACAATGCTCGATAATATTATCCTGTTAACTTTTTGGATCCCCAAAGCTCGTGACAATTAGAGAGTTTGAAGAGCATAGAACTATGCATGAAGGTTTCTAACTTGTGTCTGCAGAGTAGATTTGTAATTCATTCTATGATTGTATAAAATGTATTGTAGGTTCTTGTTGATTCTTTGGCGACGAATTTACAGGGTATTTTAGAGGCGAGATTCCCCTAGAGAAATATTTTGCACATATAAGGATGGAAAAGCTGTAAAATTGTACATTGTGCAGCATATAAGAAAATAAGAGTTTCATTTGATAAAATTCAACAGTGTGTTCCTTCAACTTTATTTTCTTTTCGAATTTGAAATAATTATAACGCGAAAAGTAGATCATCTTTCTTTGAAGTTCATTCGTATGCTGATTATAGCAAGAAGTTTTCGTGAGATTAGATTTTTTATGGATTAATATTGCATTGTAAATCGCACGACGTCGAGCTTTAATCCGAAAAGTTAATCTCGATTCAGACAGTTCGTTTATTTGTCCAGAATTCTGTGAAATACAACCACGCAAGCCATTTTGGTTCAACATTTTTCATTTACTCTTGCTTCTAACAATGTTGCCTGTGAAAACCCAGAGACAAAACCGCGCTGCTGGAACACTGGCAAAAATAGCGGCTTTTAGCGAAGCAAGGAGCGTTTTTGATGCATATAACGAACCTTTCCTGAAACAGATAACGAACCGTACGGCTACATAACAAAATAAGAACAATTTTGAATGGAATGAGAGCACAATGTTTTTGAGAGCAGAACGATATTCCAATACAATTCGGCCATGAAATTTAGATATGAATTTTGAAATTTTTTAGAAATTCCTTAGCGTAACAAGAAACACAAATATTTTTCAGATTTAACCAATAAACATATCTTATGAATCAATTTCAGTCGTGAAATTTCTGAAAAAAGTATAAAATATTCTAGTATTCCACAGAACAACACCGTGTAGATTTTTCTTGCCATTCTTGTTGTCAAAAAGAGTATACATTCCCCACCTGCAAACGACACTGCATTCTTTTAACCCAATAGCAGCTCATCTACCCTTGTTCTTTACCTCACAAACTTAACGCTCAATTAGAACAAATCTAACTTGAGATAAATCTTGCTACTGTGGACACAAAGATTGTCTGCCTAAAAATATCCTGCGAAGAACGGGGAACTAAAACTCGATAGAATTTTACACACAGTTTATTGGAGTTAGATGTTAGGATGCACTCATCGATATCAGTTCTCACCAGATAACATTCATCAATAACTAAAGATATACTTAATTTACCCCAAATGTTTTCCAGTGAAAGCACGTCATACAATAAAAACCATTTCCGACAACGATGTAATTAAAATTGCATTCGGCGTCATATAAAACTATTTGTGAAATCATCGCAGCTGTCGTACGCTTCCCCTGCCCGACTTTCTCTCGTTAATGAGTAATAATTTTTTACCAAAGAAAAAGAATGTACAAGTTTTTATTATCCAGACCACGATTTTACGTGGACTTGGATAATTATTCCACGATTTTAAAGTGGAAAAATGTCCTGCTATCTTTACGTGGTCATTAGTTTCATTACTTGTGATAGCTGTTACCTAATGAATAAATCTCCGGGAAATTTCCATATAATCTTGCATGGCAATTAATTCCATCTGGCAATCTCACGTGATGATTGTTACTTATCCCTCATTGAGAAATTGTAATTCAAGATTCTCGTTTGCAATTGTGCTTCAGTCACTGCCCGACTTGTTTTATATGAGACTCTTTTCAAATGATTCGCTAAATAAATAATTGATTGAATTATTCCGAATAATACAAAATTAATTAATTTGAAATTCAGTTATTTATTACAAATGCTTCATCTGAAACAAAGAATAATGAAGGCAAAGAAATTCATTATCGTGTTTTCATGGCAGAAATAATAGAATGAGAAAATTAAGGTATTCTGCTAACGTGGATACAATAATCTAGAGAGAATATTTTATTCCTCAGTGTATGAATTTCATCAATAACTGAAAATATTGGATTAGAAATTTTTTCTTTCTGTGGTGAATTTACAATAATTCGCAGCACTTCGTCTGTTAAATTTCAGAACAATTATACAGAAAAATTCGCCTGCCAGCGCACTTATTTTTAGTTGTTGTCTCAATAACAAAAAGTGTTCAACCAAGAATAATAATATTTATCATCACCCATAAAATACAATTATTTAAATATTTAATGAGCTTTGATTAATACAACTGAAACCTTCAGTTGTAACTTTTAATTTATTCTGATATAAATAATTCATTTTATTCCGCATCATTCTGGTAAATCGTAAGGTTTGATAGGGTGCAACGAAAGCATTCAAGAACTAAATCTTTATAATTAGCGTGAAGACAAGTTTGAAGAGAAATCACAAAGACAAAATCGAAATTAGGCTAAGTAATTTTCTATTACCGCAAACGTTCATAACACTTAAAAAATATACATTTAGAAGAAAATTAACGGAAACCAATAAAATAAAATTATAATTTAGTAAAATAGTATCTAGTAAAATACTAGTAAATATTAACATCAATATCTAATAATATTATTCATAATGCACGCTGAAGATATTTTGTACTCGCCTGCGGTGAAAGACTTAAGCTCGTTCAACGTTCAAGTTCAATGCAAGTTGATGACTTAATATGATGGTTGATAAATGGGAAGTATACACACATCAAGAGTATAGTATTGTGGCTTACATTTTTTGAACACATGTTGAGTACGGCGAAATGAATGTTTTATGCTAATTAGAGACATTGTATCACTTTATCCTTTATATGATTCAGGGTCCTCAAATTAATCCCCGTTATATTCAACAAAAATGCACAGCGGTTTTCTCTTAGGCTATTAAAATAATCTGAATAGAACAATTATTCTGATTGGGAACAAACCGACATTTATTATAATAATTGAAATATGATATGTTAACAATGCACATTCAGAGTTATTATCATCTACAAATTAGCAGAATTAACAATAAATTGACTTGATTTTCCATATTAATTCGCACACTCAACATGAATATTTCTGACACATATAATTAGTCACTTCTTAACACATAATACATTAGAGACACATTAATACTTAACTGTCTTAAAACTCACAGTCAAGAAGAATAAGCCAGCAATGTTTGTACAGCTCTCTAACATTCGATATTTCAGAGCATTCGTAAATAGATCATAGGTAATATATTAGGCAGAAGCGACAATTGCAGAAGCGTAGGTATCGACCGAGCCATGGTGACGAATGCTGATGCTGAAAAAAATAAAGGTTATAAAATAACATGCAGAATGCCATTAATAGCTAAGTATATAATTTGCAGTCTCTGACTCGAAGGCTAGAGGCATCTGCTACATGCAAGTTTATTTATAGCATGAATATTATATAACAGCAGAAATTTATAGGTAGAATTATCATGAAAAATTATATTTCTCATTTATACATGAATGAAATGTTGCTTAGGGAACATTGAGCATACCTAGACTGTATTTTGGTGATATTTAGTCATATGATTTCTTTAAACGACGATAGAATTGTTCGTACTTACATGTGGACTCAAGGGCAGCAACTCCTGAAAATACATATTGTGAATAGTTACTCCCTGATCACATATTCAAGTATTAATTAGAATTGATGACAAAATAACTTTTCATTCACTGTTTGGATTTATTATCTCTTTCATCGTAAAAAAGTTCATATCGATTGCAGTTCACTCAGTGATGTTGTATGGTAGTTAAGGTGAATGACCATTAAATATTGACTGGCCGTTGAATATTGTAATATTGTATGATAGTTTAGGTAAATGGCCGTTAAAGTATTGCAGACTGACAATTAGGTGCATGGTAGGATACGGTACGGGATAAAACGTTAAGCTATCTGTTGCTTCAAGTTCAAGTTGTACGAGTTGCATTACTTGATAACTGTTGTATTAATTTCAAGTACTCCTCGCCCGGCAGCATAAAAAAATCTCGAAGTTTACAACTTCATAATACATGTGTTGATTGGTTTTTATTTTCAGCTGCAGCTACAATAATATCTAGAAATGAGCACTGAAAAGTTTTCATATTTTCTGAGAAAGAAAGCAGTGGTTATATCTACAAAAACAAAAGAACTGCACTTTAAAATTCTGAACAATGTGTTCAGCTTAAGGAACTGCACTTGCACGTTTTTAAACATTAATAAAATTTTCTTACATCGTAGACTCTGTTCGAGTTAAATAATATATATTTTTTAGATCATGCTCTAAAAAGTTATGGTCGGATTGTCCTGCTTCACAGAATCGAACAAATTGTTAATGCAAAAATATACCTATTTATGTTATTGAACGGTTCCCATGATTTAAAACAACTTGCAGCAACTGGAATGCATTTTGTTCAATTACTAACCTGGATAATATATCATATTTTCCTGGAGTCGGTAGTCAGTGCCGGGTATGGAGAGCCTGCACTCGAACACAGTTTCGTCCTGCAAGTCGCTGTCACGCACTATAGCGAACACCGTCGCGTTGTAGGTGCCAGAGTCGTTTAAAAATATTGATTTCGATACCGTGTTCATTTTCACACTGAAAATCCAAAAAAAAACATTTCGTTATTTGATTGTACGATACTAGTAAAAATTATGACACTGACTATTTTTGAAAACGAAGTTCCGAGGCATGAAAGTCGTACAAGAATATTTTTTGTTCCAGGAAATTGAGATTGCAATATCTGCATATGGATAAGGTGCTTGCAGTGTGAGTATCCAGGGTTGATGAGGAATTAAATTCATTTCGTCAAATGCCTCTCGCTTTGCAAAAACAATGTCTTTATTCTGATAAATTCAGTGAGAGCATGAAATGTTCTTCAACTATTCTCATGTCAGCTTTAAGCTAGCCAAGTGCGCACAGATTCCACGGCAATTTTTTGTTGATTACAATATAAGTAATCTATAACTTTAAATAGCATCAAAGCCAGAGTGATTCCCCTTCTAGCGCTGCACTGCTTCCCGCTGCTACAAATGAAGTGCAATTTATCGTACCATGATACCGGGACTGATATATCGGAGGATTAGCATGCGATTAGTTGATAAAATCATGAATAATCTTTCAGAGTTACATTAGAATTCAGCGAGAAGTAAAGCCTCTTTGCGAATATCATGTAAGTCATGTCACTTATTCAGAAAATTTCTTATTGTGGCGAAGAAGAGCGGATTTCAGATGTGGCATTTAATATAGTGGTTGGAAAATTCACTAATGTATCTCGTTTAGCAGCAAAAGGCGCTTTGAGATTACCTTGTAATACTTAGAACTAGGAACTATAATCTCACCATCACATAATTTAAACCGCTTTGAACGTTCTGCACTTCCAACGGTTTATATAAACATATTTCTGATTTTAGAATGCTGTATTAAATCATTTACTAGGGGAAACCATTTCCCGAGAAAGGAATGCATGATGTTTATTTAATTCAGGTAATGTACTAGGCACATCAGCACGTGCCTAGTACTAAGTATTTGCTCCGATGAGAATGAAATCTTTCCTGATTTCATACAGATATAAACTTCGCATTTTTTTATCCTTCGGCGAGAAACTATTTCATTGGAAGAACACTCACACTTTACAATGAATGTGTAATGAAAGTCTTAAAATTGTCAATTAAAATATAATTAGAAAATTTTTGGTTCATTTAAATTTTTTCTTTCGAATATTCGTACACTCTCTCTAATTGAAAATGGACGTGACTGATATTTAGGCAATTTTTATAGAACTATCAATGCGAATTAATTTGTATATGCATATTCATATTCGGTTTTGATTGATTGGCTGCTTTTACTGATTTTCGTGAGAATTTTTCGTCGACATACAAATCACTTCATGCTGCGCTTCGGGCATCTTTATTTAAGCATTGCAAATGTGCCCGAAAATTTGGGTTGCAGTTGAAATTTTTACCGTAGTTTCTTAGAATATTTCTTTTCCTTTGTGTTAAACGATCGATAATTGTTTCTTTGTGTATTTGGTAAACTAATACAACATTTTCAATTTAGTCATGTTTCTAAGAGTAAACGCTTCGCAATTATTTAGATTGCACATCAAAAATTTTCCCACACTTTGGATAATAGAAATAGAACTCATATCTAAACAACTTTTTTTTGAAGAGCTATCTAATTCAATTATATTTAAATTGATGCATTATAGATTATAATGCACCACCATATAGTTATTTTTCATCTTTAACACTATCGACACGCCATTCCACAAATGCCATATTAAATTAGTTCAACAATATGGAGACTGACGGCAATCTTATTAATCATCTGTTTGGTATCTTATTCAATACAATGACCAATAACCATTCATGGGAATGAATCTGCGGTGTCCGTGAATACAAGGACGCTCTTTGTACGCTCGTAATTCCTAAATAATCGACCCTGACAAGAGTCTTGCCTGATTGCATGGCTACCATGACAGGCAATTGCAAGTCTAGTGGCTGGGCACACATTTGCTTTGCTGGCTTGAGGTTCTTATTTCAGGCATGCAAGAAATTGCGCTAGAAACTTCGCTATCAAGACATACTCAACATTCATTGATCGTTGATGAAATCAAAGACTATTACACTCTTCAATCGCTTATAGCTCTGCCGAAATTGGTGCATAGATAAAAATATGTTTCTGACATTCATTTAGGATTGGTTAAAAAAAAATTTCCATCACTAGTTTCCTTCAATTATAAAATATTGAATGGAAAATAAATAAAATACAAAATTAGTAAATGAAGTTCGCGATGACTTTTTCTTAGCAAATATTTTAAATAAATCAACTTAAAAATAGTTTAGAAGCGTAAGCTGTTCTACTGTTAATTCAAAAATATCACAGGATTTATTTAATCCCTGTCATTATCGACTAGGACAGCCTACAACGAAGGTGTTCTGTGTTTTAACGACATGCAAATATTATGATTTTAATTTATGCACAAGATAATGCGATTAACTTGCGGTAGAATGAATGTTTTTGAGCTGAAATTGAATTGATGAAAATCTCCTCTTAGCATCATTAGTGATGTGAGGCTCGTATGAAACTTAAAAGCACTTGCGGTACATTAATCGCCCACATAAGAGACTGGAAATGGACGAGTAATAATGAGGTAGAAATGAGGTGGCATGCGCACACTTGTGTATAATTGAGACGTCAGCGCTCGTGGCAGAACTTCGCTTGTTCTTGGAAGCCCTCAAGTTAATTATGATGAATAACTCGTGATAAAACGGCATGAGACTTATAGATGTACAGTGCGTTTTGGAATGAGAAGGCGAGAACTCAAGATTAGCAATTTTTCTACGGTGCATTCATGATAATTTCTATGAATCACTCGTGATAAGACAAGCACGGAAATTGCAGTTGAACTGACAGTTTTGACGCAACTATTTTTAATAAAATATCTAAACGTCATACTTTGGAAACAGAAATGCGATTGAATATTTTTTATATCTAACAAAAATACCAACTTTGACAGAGCATACTTTTCCTTTTCCATTCAAGCATTTTTCCCTCTAAGTTCAAAGTCGTTCGCATCTTCCATACCTCTTGAAATTCACTGCACTCCTGAACACGTCAAGTTTTGGCTCCGGGAAGACCCCGCTGGCGCTGCATACAACTTTGACGCTCTCCACCGTCGGCTTGCTGTACGTGACGTAGATATCCGACGCTGGGGCTGCAAATAACATTTACGGGCATAGTTTTATGCGAACCCTCACAAAAAAATGACAATAAGAAAGCGAAAATACTCGGTGAAATAGTTTTTTTACTCGTCAGTGCATAAAAAAAAGTCTGAAGAAACGTAATTTCATGGTGTTACGGATGAGGAATAACATTTACGGGCATAGTTTTGTGCGAACCTTAACGAAAAATTACAAAAAGAGAGGGAAAGTACTCGGTGAAATAGTTTTTTTACTCGTCAGTGCATAAAAAAAGTCTGAAGAAACGTAATTTCATCGTGTTATGGATGAGAAATAAGATTTCTGGGCATAGTTTTGTGCGAACCCTCACAAAAAATGATAAAAGGAGAGCAAAAATACTCGATGAAATAGTTTTTTACTCTTCAGTAAATATGAAAAGTTTTCAGAAACGTAATTTTATTCTGTTATGTATGAGGAATATATTAGCGTCGTAGGAAGCTAGACGATTTGGAATGTGTTACGATAAGAAAATTTAAATCAATCCCAAGGAGGCTAACCATGAAGTTGTCGATAATATTTTTCCATCCATACTTATCACGATTACAGCAATTTTTATTCATATTTCGGCATAAATTTAACTTTATGATACAAGGTTCACGATTAAACAAATTTCAAAGTTTCTCACATGGTAAAGACCGTTAATCAGCAAATCCTAAGTGCACTAGATTTCTTCATTAAAATTAGTTCTAAATTAATTGATTAAAATAATTCATTAAAAATTGAATGAAATTTTAATATTGGGTCAAACCCTCTTGGATTTTAGTATTTTTTAAAAGGAAAGTGTCCAATATTTGGGTAATTTTTTATTAGTATCAGAAGTTGAACTGGCCCATTACAACTTTAAGCCACTTGACTGTAAATTTTGATGTTTAGCTAAGACAGTGTGCTTCAACGTGGATAGAGCAGGTAGATGAAGCTCTCGTATTGCTACTTGATTGCTTATATCTCTTCGCTAACATGAATACTTTGTTGAATTTGAGAGCCGCAACTTTAATTTCATTGGAAACTGCTGTGTAATGATAGTAGAAGTAGAGTTACTACTCACAGTAGATGATGACCAGGTAGAAGTAGAGTGACAACTCACAGTGAATTATGACAAGGTAGAAGTAGAGTAACTACTCGCAGCAGATTATAACCAGTGAGAAGAAGAGTCACTACTCACAGTAGATGATGACCAGTTAGAAGTAATCACTACTCAAATTAGGTGATAAATTGATAACAAGGTAGAAATAGAGTCCTCCTCACAGTAGGTGATGACTCAGTAGAAATAGAGTCACTACTCACAGTAGGAGTAGAGTCACTACTCACAGTAGAAGTAGAGTCACAACTCACAGTAGAAGTAGATTCCCTACTCACAGTAGATTATAACCAGGTAGAAATAGTTTCACTACTCACAGTAGATTATAGCAGGTAGAAGTAGATTCCCTACTCACAGTAGATTATAACCCGCTTGGTCTTGAGGTCGTCGCTATGGAAGGTAGACACGACGCAGGTATAGTCCCCTGAGTGGGCGATGGTGGGGCGCTGTATGGCCAGCGCTCGGTGCACCTCCTGGCTGTGGTTAGACGCTCGGTACGACAGATCCACTCTACCCTTCAGTATACTCAGGTCCTGTGAAGTAATATGCAATATTCCTAGCACAATAATAAATATATATTCTATATAATAGAAATATTGATGATATTGTAGCTCGGTACGACAGATCTACTCTACCCTTCAGTATACTCAGGTCCTGTAAAGAAATATTCAATATTCCTAACACAATAATAAATATATATTCTAAATAATAGAAATATTGATGATATTGTAGCTCGGTACGACAGTTCTACTCTACCCTTTAGTATACTCAGGTCCTGTAAAGAAATATTCAATATTCCTAGCTCAATAATAAATAATTTTCTAAATAATAGAAATATTGATGATATTGTGGCTCGGTACGACAGATCCACTCTGCCCTTCAGTATACTCAGGTCCTGTAAAGAAATATTCAATATTCCTAGCTCAATAATAAATAATTTTCTAAATAATAGAAATATTGATGATATTGTAGCTCGATACGACAGATCTACTCTACCCTTCAGAATGCTCAGGTCCTGTAAAAAAATATTCAATATTCCTAGCACAATAATAAATATATATTCTAAAAAAGTATAATATTGATAAAATTGTATTAGTGTAATTTGTTAACTTTCAGTTTATTTGTCTTTTTTCGGAACATTCCTTGTATGAGTGAAAAAACATTAAAATTATTTTGTTGTACTAGTATTATTAGTATTAATTAATATCAATAGTATTAATAGGTATTATGAGTTAACTTCAAGATTACTCGTCTTGGAAGCGAATGGAAAGAATATAACGATGCAGGTATGAATTCAGCAGTGTTTATTTTTCGTGAAGTACTGTTGAAAAATTTGTCATTTATAATTAATGACATAGACGTTTTAAAGGCTTGTATAATGTTTGCTTGCTTTGTACGTAAGTCAACATAGACATTAGCTAGTAAAATGAAACCATAGTTGAGATTAATAAAACTGACCTGGTGTGCATGATTGATCATCCTTTAAAAATATATCCACAACTGAAAATATATCATTGTACTGGGATCATGGTTAGTTATTAATAGTTAAAATTTAGGCAAATTACATTTACGAGCGTGAGGTATTTTCTATTTTATTTCTCGATAATGAAACAAATTTTGAAATAAAGTCACGTACCTGAGGCGCAGTATTTCTATTTATTTTTCGATAATGAAACCTGAACACGAGACTTAGTTTGGAAATAAAATCTCGTGTTGAGCCGCAGTGTTTCTATTTATTTCTCGATAATTAAACTTATTTTGTAAATAAAGTCTCGTACCTGAAGCGCAGTGTTTCTATTTATTTTTCGATAATGAAACTTATTTTGTAAATAAAGCCACTTACCTGAGGCGCAGTATTTCTATTTATTTCTCGATAATTAAATTTATTTTGAAATTGTCCCGTACCTGAGGTGCAGTATTTATATTTATTTCTCGATAACTAAACTTATTTAGAAATAAAGTCGCGTACCTGAGGCGCAGTGTTTCTATTTATTTCTCGATAATGAAACAAGAATACCAGACTTATTTTGGAAATAAAATCTCGTACCAGAGGCGCAGTATTTCTATTTATTTCTCTATAATTAAACTTACTTTAGAGATAAAGTCACGTACCTGAGGTGCAGTGTTTGGTATCCACTGATATACTAGGTATCGCATACGGTTCTTGAGGTACCACTTGACAGTGAGGCCGCGAGTGTCATATCGAGCAGCGTCGTACTGACAGTCCAGCACCAGCAGAGGTACTGATCCGTTCACCACCACCGATGGCCCAACGATTCTGGATATCTTGAAGCCAGACGCTGTACCTAGGGAGGTTATAACCAACGTAGTGTTATTCTGGTTCACCACCACTGAAGGTCCAACGATCCTCGAGATCTTGAAGCCAGACGCTGTACCTAGGGAGGTTATAACCAACGTAGTGTTATTCTGGTTAAAAATTGAGGCACTGAACCGTTCACCACCACCGATGGCCCAACGATCCTCGAGATCTTGAAGCCAGACGCTGTACCTAGGGAGATTATAACCAACGTAGTGTTATTATGGTTAAAAAATGAACATTTAGGGGCATGAATAGAGTTTTTTTATGAAAAAATATGTTCATGTTTATTAGTTACATTTTTTAGTCGAAGGAAGTATTATTATCGACGCTCGGCGTGCACGCGAAGCCATTCACTGGTCGTATTGGCAAAAAAATCTAAATACTCCAAAAAAGCCGGTACAGCATGATCAATATTTTACTAAACTGCCTCGAACGGAAACGCTAGCCGTTCAGGAATGAAAGGGGAAAATGTCAAAAACTATAATTATAGAGCTTGTTTTCTTTATGGTTGGATCGATTATGATTAATTACAGGTTTTTCTTGCGTTTATCGGTCACTCTGACATAAATTTCTGTAGTTAATTTTTGCCTCCTTTCCCTTCATATTTATAATTTATCGGTCTCCGCTTATAATATCTAATCCAAGTTTTTCTTTGGTGTACCGTGAATCTTTTTCCATTTGCCTAGAGATCATCATACAAGATTTTTTTCTGTTTTTAAATCATTTCCTCCATGTACGCTGCCATCTTAATACAAATTCGATATATTCTTACTTATCATTCCCGCTGTCACAGGAATTTCCTCGGGGCTTCTTGCAACACAAGCCTGCTGGCACGCAACAGCATAATATGATCCATCATTAAGCTCATGTATTATACGTCGAGAAAATCCCGGTCTCGTTTGCAGCTGATTAGAAGTTGACTCGGTCAACCTCGTTAGCTTGCAGGCTCTGCAACAGTTTTTTCCCTTGCGATAATAATGAACTCGAGCAGCAATAAATATTCAGTGGGCTGACAAATTTAATGCATAACTTACCATAATAAACGAGTCAGCATATAGAGGCAAGTGCAAGAAAGGAGACGACATAAAACATGCAAGAAAGGATGCATAATAAAAGGATGCAAATATTATATCACTGTGTCATACACTGACATTGTGGATAGAGATCAATCTCTTTACTTTTGATTATGTATTTCGCATCCTGCTAAAATAATTGAATTTTTCGGAGTAACTTACGGTAGAATATTTCGTACGGAAATAGTAGAATTACAATATTTTGTGAGAATATATTCATTCCAGTCTGATAGGGAACCAGGAAAAATTTTTATAGAATAGAAACATAGAAAATGTTTTAATAGAATTATAGTATTTTATGAGAATATTTTCATTCCAGTCTGATTGTGAATCAGGAAAAATGTTTACTAGGAGCCTTCAAGCAATTTAGTTAGCGTAATTAGTTCTATACAAATTAAGTGTATGATATTTAATCATAAGATCGCTTGAAACACAAATTGACCAAGAACTTGAAGGCAAATATGTATGGCAAACAAATTCCTTATATTTCCAGTGGCAACGTTTCAGACAATAGCTCCATCTGCAGTTTCAAATGCGGATGTACCTATAAAAAAACAGGGAAAGAACTTATGAAACTTTATCAATTGAGAAAGAAAGGTGAATTTACTTGACTTTTCTTTGATTTAAAATTAAACTGATTTATTTAGATTAAAAGTTTAAATAAAGAAGTTAAAATAATGTAATTATCAATCAAAATTATCAATTAATTTTATCGATGATTATGTATGATCGAAATAAATTTCCCGCGATCACAACCTGCTAAATTGTCTGCGATGTGTAACATTGTCTGCACGTGTCGCGGCATCAGACTCGCCTCAAAAGCTCGGATTCTTTCTTGCTTGTCGTTTGATGCACCGAACGATTCTCATAACATTTTTACCAATCTCATTCTGATCAGGAAGGAATTTTGTTTAGCAGCAAATATTGGACAAGATCGCCAGCCTCCACGTTATGAAGAAATCCCTGTAGGCCTGCGAAAAACAATGGATTTTGCGATGGGCAACTGTTGCTTCGAGAGGCCGGCGCTGCGAGCATCAGGCCCAATATTGGTGGTAGGGAGGGAATGCCAAATACCCAGGTGCGTTCATGATAAAAGAAGCGCCATCTTTTCCAGGAAGATAAAAGCCTTTGTTCGTTCACAAATATAGAAACATTATCTTGCCATGATATCTTAAAAGATTTTGGACATTGGCTGCAAAATGAACAATTTATCATACAATATTTTATAGAAACCTTGAGTTTGCTGGAAAACGCATGCGTTTAAAAATGCTGTGAAAATGTTTAAGTTATATGGATATCGAAATCAAAATGATGCAGGAAATCAATTCGGACATTCATTGTCCCAAAACTATTTTTAGGTAAAATCAAGTTGTAATTCTACAAGACAATGTCAGTTGCTTCTGCTCTCCCGGTTCTATGAATAACTAAAGGTTGATAACCTTCGGGTCCACCCAGGTTAAAAAAAATCATATCCCTCACACCGGCAATAAAAGTTTTGTCAAAACGAAGCTAATCAACATAGACTCAATTTCTCATCAAACCGTTAAATCACTAATAAAGAAAAATGTATAGGAATTATTCTCGAAATTTTTATGTGTTTAGCTGATCATATATGATCGTAGATATTGGAGGACATCAGCTTCGAAGCATCTAGTCCAAGCGTGCGCTGCAATATTGGTTGCCAGCGACAATATCTCGAGATGTTGAGACCGTTCATGTATGCACTGCAGATCTCAATTGAGTTACGGTGTTTTAGATACGCTGTTCAAAACATATGTCGTTGCCATTTATATTTCTGATCTCCACTATTCCGTATTCGACAAACAGCCTTCAGAGAATTAGATCTGCATTTTGAATAGAGCACAACTTGATGGATTCACTTTGAGCTCCGACCGTCGCTCATCGCTGTGTACGTTGAATTTGAATTCGACGGAATTTTGCGCACCATTAGTTTAGTGATACAAATATGATACATTCATTCGATATCGAGATTAAGTTGTTTCAATAAAAAATGTCGCAGATAGAATTATATGATAGATACATCGGCTAAACACTATAATATGTAAATTATAAGGCACTATCTTTAAAATTAAGTGCATTTTGTTGCATTTGAGTGTTGTTTAAACTGTGATATGCTGTTGTTTAATGTCTGCAGCTAAGCCAGTTAAATAATAAATTAGTCTTTTGATTGAAAGAATATTTCGATTTCATCCATGCAACTCTCCAATTTCCTTTACTTGTTAAATTTGACATGACCTTACATAACATATTAAAAGTTGAAATGAATTATGTCAATAAACAAGTCATTTGGTTAAGAGGTTGTACTACGCCAATAAATAAAATTTTTTCGTTCAAAATTAGCACATTTATGAACCACTGTATTCCGAATGATTTACGATAAATACATGACATTAATTTTGCATCATTAAAATAATAAGCTACTTACTTATAATTATCCTCAAAACGAAAATATAATCTCATGTTCCTAATTTTTAAGTTGTGCTTTTGTTCCAGTTTTCAGAAGTAATCTTGGGACTTCGTTTCGCCGAGAGATGAAGATTCTCATAAAGTTAAGCTGCAACAAAGCGTTCAATTAGCGGATACGCAGACCGGTCTGAACTTAACAGCCTTCCTATCATACAGCCTTCCTATCATACAGCCTTCCTGCCATACAGCCTTTCTACCATACAGCCTTCCTTCCACACAGCCTTCCTACCATACAGCCTTCCTACCACACAGCCTTCCTGCCATACAGCCTTCCTACCATAAAGCCTTCCTACCATAAAACCTTCCTACCATAAAGCCTTCCTACCTACAGCCTTCCTATCATACAGCCTTCCTGCCACACAGCCTTCCTACCATAGCGAATTCCTACCATACAGCCTTCCTACCATACAGCCTTCCTACCATACAGCCTTCCTACCATACAGACTTCCTACCATACAGCCTTCCTACCATACAGCCTTCCTATCATACAGCCTTCCAACCATACAGCCTTCCTACCTACAGCCTTCCTACCATACAGCCTTCCCACCATACAGCCTTCCTACCATACAGCCTTCCTGCCATACAGCTTTCCTGCCATACAGCCTTCCTATCATACAGCCTTCCTGCCATACAGCCTTCCTACCATAGCGAATTTCTGCCTCCCGCCCCGTGCATGTTCACATTTTCGGGAGGGAAATTTTTATTCTTCAGAATGCACCAGGCGCTTCAGCAAAGAACCAGTCGAGCTGATGAGGCAAATTAATGACTTTTATGGAATTGGACGCCTTGAGTTAAGAAGCCTTACGGAAAATTGGCAGTTTCTCGCGCTGAGATGCATTCCCAAGTCTGAGGTAATTATGCCATTTGGATGCAGCTTAATTCCAACTTAAAATTACTTTCTGAAGTCATTTTAAATTTGCAAATTTGTTGCTTTCCTCAGTGAAACTAATGGCTAGGCCTTACCTATATCTTTCAAACGATTTAAATGTTATCTTTCGGAACAAAAAAAAATATGCTCAGCAATATTCAGTGAAGAAATGGAAATTATTTAGAGAGATATTAGACAATTTTGGCTATTTAATTGCATATAAACATAAACAAAAACGAATTTCGTACAGAAAAATTTCCTGGACGAAAGTTGCATACAAACACTAAACATTCCTTGACAAATTCCTCAAGCTATCTTCGTGAAGATTACCTCGCACCCGTCGTATAGCTTTCACTAATAACAGCGTACGCACTTTCGCGAGCCATTACTCGAGCCATTTAGTCACCGACGACATGGCAAGGCTGCAAAGGAGGGCTAAAATTAAATAAGCTCTTTCATTTTAGTCATTTCCCTTCGCAGGAACGCCGAATACAAGTTGCTTTCATTGCGCTCTGGATATGCCTATTCTTCCCGCCGAGCCGGGTTGGAAAATGCTTT